CCTGCCTCTGCCTCCCGAGTGCTGGGATTAAAGGCGTGCGCCACCACCGCCCGGCGGGCTTTTTTTTTTTTTGTCTTTGGTTTGTTTGCTTTTACTGCAAAAATAGAGGCTAATGGTATATACTTGTGATTCTAGCTACTTAAGGGACAAACTGGGCTACAATTCTGTCTTCAAATAAAGAAAGGAAGGAAGGAAGAAGGAAGGAAAGGAGGGGGTAAATTTTTTAAATAATTTAATGTATTTTATTTTATTTTAAGTGCACCAGTGTTTTGTCCGGAAACATGTCTGTGTAAAGGTGTCGAATCCCCTGGAACTGGAGTTAAAGACAGCTGTGAGCTGCCATGTGGCTGCTGGGAATTGAACCTGGATCTGAAAGAACAGCCAGTGCTCTTAACCGCTGAGCCATCTCTCCAGCCCCCAGGAGGAGGCTAAATTTTAAAAACAAAAAATTGGGGCATGTTTACAAAACCAGCTATGAAGGTGGGAATAGCAAGAATCTAGAAAAAGAAGTTAACAGAAGAGCTTCACAAAATGATGAGGCCCTGGCCAACACTCCTGACTTCTGTCTTACCAGACAGGTGGAGGGGGGGGGGTGCAGCTGTCATTTTAGTATTTGTTTGTTCCTAACATCATGGGTTCAGTCTCAGTACTACCAAAAGGAAAGGAAAGAAGAACAAACAAATGAACAGGAAATTCAGGGCCCAAAGTAAAACTGAACTGGAACACAGCCACACTCATGCATGTGCAGCCCAGGACTGTCTGGGCCAGCAGAGCTGACAGCTGCAAGCCAGACTTCCTGTGTTTTCTGGCTTCCCACGGCTGCCCATCACAGACTGCAGAGACTGCTCTGGCCACACAGCATTCAGCTACATGCCAGCTAAGAGACCACAACCTGCCCTTTATTTCACCTGTAAATACCAATGTGTCAGACGGGAAAGAGGAAGAAAAGGAGTTTGAATATTCTGGCTTTAAGGCACAATGGTATAGATTATTTTGTTATCAGAAGAAGGCAAAGTATAGTCTTTACAATCCTGAAATAATAGAAAAATCAAAAGTATCACCAAACTATAAAAACTCATCAAAATACTCTCAATTTACACAGAATCATTGGTAAGAAAAATTTGAATATTTACAATAGCTAATTCAATACCAGCATCAATTCTTCAAAAAGAAAAATATAAAGGAACCCTGTCTCGAAAAACCAAAAAAAAAAAAAAAACAGGAAAGAAAAACAACTTCAAAGTGGTTCAGTCAGGAGCCAAGCAAGAAGAATGATTTATGATGTTAATTAAATCATGCTGCATTTAATCAGACCACAGTAGAATTAAACTAGGACTCAGTAATTAAAAAGACTAATGAAAATAAAATCCCTGAGTACTTGGAGATTAGTTAGCACACCTCTAAGTGACACAGAAGAGAGAAATCTGAAGGAAAAAAAAGCACTATTTTGATCCAAGTAAAAAACGAGAACACAGGCCATATGTGGTGACGAATGCATGCGATCCTAGGAGGTGGAAGGCAAAGGCAGAAGGAAGCAAATCTCCTCCTCTGAGAATCACCTGATAGACAGCCCTGGCACTTCCGACCACCTGTGTGTCATTCAGTAGGTGGGACCTGTAAACTCCAATGCGCCGGCCGGCAGTCTACCCACAACTGCAGCACTCCAGTAGGACTCAGGAAGTCTTAAAGTACCGAGAGAGTCGGGAAGTGAGGACCTGGGCCTTTCATCCCAGCATTCCAGAGACAGAACCAGGTGGATCTTTGTGAGATGGAGGCCAGCCTGGGCTACACAGTCCCACACCAGCCAGGGCTACATGGAGAAACCTTGTCTCAGAAAAAAGGAGAGACCGAGAAAGAGAAGGGGTGGCGACAAGGGCAAGACAAGACAGGTTTAGGTTACTTTTGATATTTTTCCTTGTTAAATAGGTTTTATTGCTTACTGTGTGTGAGCACGTGTGTAGGTGTGCACGTGCACACCTCAGCTCACACGCAGAAGGGAACTTTTCTCAGAGGTCAGTCCTCAGGTCGCCAGACTTGCAGAACTAGCATCTTCACGCTCTGAGCCATCCTGCTAGCCCCAAAATAACCTTAACAGCAAATCCACTCTGTCCATGACAACAACCTGAGTCTCACCCTCAGTACTCGTGGAAGCAGGAGAGAATGAACTCCTACAAGCTGTCCTCTGTCTTTCTCTCACACAGACACACATACACACCATAAATAAATGTAATAAATTTTAAATAAAGATGGATACATACAACATTATACTGATACAAAGAATTATACTGAAAATAAGAGTCTATCAGACATCTGAACTTTTATATAAATTTAATATTCAACAGTCAATTAAAATATTTTTTTAAATTTAGTGT